TGTGTTTAAATGCAGTAACAGACAAAGGGGCTATTAAGACCAGAATAAATGTTGAGCACAGAAACAAAGACATAAGTAGAAGAAAAGCATCATATCTTAAGCACCAAATTCAGACACGCTGTCCTGTGTGGTGGTAAATGTGGCATACTGTATCACTAGCTGGGTTTGCTCTGTCATCCTGAGAATCCCAGGGCCTAACAATAGTAAGATCCACTTGCCCATAAATTTGCAGTCCAAAAAATAAAGCCAGAAGAATTTTCGCTAGATAATTTTTATTCAAGCTCCTAAAGCATAAATTCCCTTTATATTCACTGATAATTCCTAGACTGAAAAACAGCAATATATTCAAACCCACGTTAAGATTATTTATTACAATACGGAACATCATCGCCCTCAAGTGTCTACATGTTCAGCTCTACAAAATAATTTATGTCTAGCAACTATTCATATTGATCAGTTGTCAATGCAATATCAATTACTCAACATTGTTAATATCATCCCTTAACCTAATTAGTTAACCTTTTTAGAATAATTAATGGTTCAGCTCAACAAATACAGGTAAATTATATACCATGTGCCAAGGCCAGTGCTAGGCAAGAAAGACAAAAATGTAGAAGACAACACAGTTCCCTACCCTCAGGAACTTAAATATGATTTCCAGTATTACATGACAAGTCAGGTCTTCCAGCATTATATGAGAGGGGAGGATAGAGACACAGGATAACCTGGGGCACTGCAGATAACTATCTTTAGGACAAGACTGCTATAAGGACTTGTAGACAAGGTGAACAAAGAGGAAAAGGGCCACAGTCCAGAAGGACATTAAGGACATGAACCAAGACAGCAGTAGGAAGGACTTAAAGTGGAGGGAGTAAATTATTTGGAGATACGGAAAGAAAACAACAAAAACAAAAAACACCCAACTGGATTAGTGATAGGAGAATACAGGCACCTCTCAGTTTTGTGCTGAGCAAACAAGGAGCTAGATGGTTATACCATAATTTTAAATCATGATCAACAAGGTAAGAAAGTTTCTGTGTTTAGATATGTTAACTTAAGGTGCTTTAGAAACATCCAAGTAGGTAAGTCTAAAAGGCAGCTGGCATTACAAATCTATAAACCTCAAAGAGATCAGTGTTGAAGACAGATTTAAGAGTAAAAATCATCACTAAGAACTGACAACACCCAAAAATGTGTAGAGTAAAAAGTACAGCAGTCCAAGGATTAAAACCATAGGGTATATTAACATTTAAAAGGCAAACAAAGGAGGCGCTTGATTTTGTTCTTTTGCTCTTAAGCATTCATCTAAAAAAAAAGGCCTATCTTTAACCATACTCACAAAATCACTACCATTGTACTTTACAAGCCAGGAGTCAATGCAACTTAATAATATCTGTTGTAAACCTTCACCAGCAACTATAAATGGATTACTTTTTCTGTCTTTTGAAATATTCATAATATAGATTATTTTCAATGCTTAAGATTATTGTTTTTAAAAGTTCATACTAGTGAAAACAAGATTAAAAAGTCCTCAGTGATTACTCATTTTAAGTATCAACTGTATATGAGAATGATGCACATGTATGTTGCTTTAAATATTGTTATACATAAGAAAACAATTCCATTTACAACTGCACCAAAAAGAATAAAATACCTAGGAATAAACTTAACCAAAGAGGTGAAAGACCTGTACTCTGAAAACTGTAAAATACTGATGAAAGAAACTGAAGATGACACAAACGAATGGAAAGTTAATCCATGCTAATATACTGGAAGAATTACTGTTGTTAAAATTACCATACTTCCCAAAGCAATCTACAGATTCAATGCAATTACCATCAAAACACCAATAGCATTTTTCAGAGAAATAGAACAAACAATACTAAAATTTGTGGAACCACAGAAGACCCTGAATAGCTAAAGCAATCTTGAGAAAAAAGAACAAAGCTGGAGGTCTCACAATCCCAGATTTCAAGATACACTACAAAGCTTTAAAAATCAAAACAGCACGGTACTGGCACAAAAATGAGATATACAGACCAATGGAATAGAATAGACATCTCCAAAATAAAAGCCATCCTTATATGATCAATGATCTATCTATTTAATCTATGATAAAGGAGGCAATAAAATACAATGGGGAAAAGTCTCTTAAATAAATGCTGCTGGGAAAACTGGACAGCTACATGCAAAAAGAATGAAACTGAACCACTTTCTTTACACCACTCAAAAATAAACTCAAAATAGATTAAAGACCTAAATGTGAGATCTGAAACCATAAAAATCCTAGAAGAGAATGCAGTAATTTCTCTGTCATCGACCATGACAATGTTTTTCTAGATACGTCTCTTTTTTTGTATAGGGCAAGGGAAACAAAAGCAAAAATAAACTATTGGGACTGTTATCAAAATAAAAAGTTTTGCACAGTGAAAAAACTGTCAACAAAAAGGCAAGCTACTGAATGGGAGAAGATATCTGCAAATAATATACCCAATAAGAGGATAATAGCCAAAATATATAAAGAACTTAAACTAACTCAACATCAAAAAATAAACAATCCCATTGAAAGTGGTGTAGAGGACCTGAACAGACATTTATCCAAAGAAGACATACAGATGGTCAACAGACACTTGAAATGATACTCAACATCACTCATCATTAAGGAAATGCAAATCACAATTACAATGAGACATCACCTGTCAGAATGGCTAAACTCAATAACACAAGAAACAACAAGTGTTGGTGAGGGTGTGGAAAAAAGGGAAACCTTGTGCACTGCTGAGAATGCAAACTGGTACAGCCACTGCGGAAAATAATATGGAGTTCCTCAGAAAGTTAAAAATGGAACTACCCTATGATCCACTAATCACACTACTGGGTATTTATTTTCCCAAAGAATACAAAAACACTAATTTGAAAGGATATATGCACCCCTTGTTTATTGCAGCTTTACAACAGCTAAGGTACGGAAGCAACCGAAGCGTCCACTAGTAGACAAATGGATACTTATATACAAAAGGGAATATTACACAGCCATAAAAAAGAATGAACTCTTGCCATCTGCAACAACATATAGATGGACCTAGAGGATATTATGTGAAGTGAAACAAGTCAGACTGAGAAAATCAAATACCATATAACTTCATTCATATGTAGAAACTTAAAACAAATGAATAAATAAAAAGCAGAATCAGAGCTATAAATACAGAGAACAAATTGATGGTTGCCAGAGGGAAAGGGTTGGGGAAATGGGCAAAAATGGATGAAAAGGAATGGGCGATACAGGCTTCCAGTTATGGAATAAGTCATATCATAGGGAATAGCCAATGATACTGTAATAGTGCTGTATGTGACAGATGGTAACTACACTTGTGGTGAGCACAGTATAATGTATAGAGAAGTTGAATCCTGTGTTGTATATCTGAAATTAATGTAACATTGTATGTCAACTATACTCAAAGTAAAAAATTTTTAAAGAAAAATAATCTAAATAAATAAATAGTTACACATAAGTCAGAATCTAATTCACAGAAGATGTACAATATATGTTTGTGGTTAATAATAGCATAGACTTAAAACTTAGAAATAAAATAAATTCTCAAAATATTTATGAAATATCACATTTAAAATTAATTCAACAAATAGCTAAAGTAGCATAGTGTAAATTCCCAAAAGGAAATTCCCCTCTACTTTTATGTTTTGCACACCCTTTCAAGAAAAAAGACACACTTTTTAAAATTTATAAAGTGTTATTAAAGTAAATACATTTTCAGTACCTCACTGGTCAACCGTATTAGGAGAGCTGCGGCCTCTGAATATTTGCTTTGGCTTTTTAAGATTTCAGCACTAAGCAATACACATCTTTCAGCCAATACCATATTCCTAAAGAAAAAAAGAAAAGAAAAATATAATTAGCACTACAATAATATCTTAATACATCATAGTAACCATGTGTTAAATAAAAGTTCCAATTCTAGTTTGTGAATAAAAAGAAATCCATGTTCTTGTTTTCCACTTACCAAAAAGGTTAAAAAGAAAACTTCAAAGAATTCTCATAAGTATTCAAAACTTTTGATCATCATATAATTTCACGGTAAGAATACGGTGCAAAGTCACATTTTCTATACACAAAACACTAGAACCTAAATGGTATATTTGAACCAGCTGCTGGTTAACAAATAAAACTTGCTATGAACACAAAAGAATACATACATTTCACCATATTTCTTTCTCTTTCCTCATTGCAAACTGTGGTTATGTGTGTTTTAATATACAGCTACTTCTGGGAATACTTAAGTGTTTTCCATCTAGTAGTACCATTGAGATATTTCAATTGGAGATAACATGAGGGGCAGTGATGCCTAATTGATTCTTGAGCAAAATCTTTGTAAAAACAGACAATCAGCTGATTTTTCTTCATGGACTACTATCATCAATAATTAAAAATAATAAAATACCATTATTAAAAATAATAAAATAGAGGCATATGAGTGGCTCCGTTGGTTACGCATCTGACCCTTGATTTCGGCTCAGGTTATAATCTCACAGTCATGAAATTGAGCCCTGTGTTGGCCTCTGCGGCAGGCCTGCTTTTAAGATTCTCTCTATCCCTCACACTCTGCCCCTCCTTCTCTGTCTCTAAAAAATAATAATAATAATAAATTAAAATATTCTTACTGTGAAATTATAAGATGGAATGCTTTTGCTGGGAAATAGCAAAGTTTTTTATTTTAATTTTCTAATCCTTATATCAAAATTGGCCTTAAAATTGCACAGATTACTAACTTGAAGGTCATTCTGAACAGTGATATTTTAAAAATACAATTTTCTACATTCAAAAGTTATCTGCCATAAGCTTACTACAAATCATGTTTTCTTAGGTTAGTATTTATAAACATCTAAGGTTATTTTAATGAACACAAAAGACTAACTCCTAATTAGTAACATCTACTCATATATAATATGCTCTCTTCTTTTTTTTTAAGTATATTTATTTTGAGAGAGAGAGAAAGAGAGTATGGGGGGGCAGAGAGAGAGAGGAAGACAGAGAATTCCAAGCAGGCTACACACCATCAGCACACAGCCCCATGTGGGGCCAGAACTCACAGACCATGACATCATGACCTGAGCCGAAGTCCAATGCTTAACCTACTGAGCCACCCAGGCACCCCTTAAATATGCTCATTTCTTAAAGAGTTTTAAGTAAACTTTATAAACACTCTTACATCTTACACTATTGTTTTGCTTATTTTTGTTTGATTCCTCACCTATTTTCTCCATGTGGTCAGTTATTAGGTTAAACGCTACCAAGTCCTAGATTTGATTAATTTGTTTATTCAAGCAACATTTAAAAAAATCATTTTGGGGGCGCCTGAGTGGCTCAGTCGGTTGAGCGTCTGACTTCAGCTCAGGTCATGATCTCGCAGTTTGTGAGTTCGAGCCCCGCGTCAGGCTCTGTGCTGACAGCTCAGAGTCTTGAGCCTGCTTCAGACTCTGTGTCTCTCCATCTCTCGGCCCCTCCCCTGCTCATGCTCTGTGTCTCTCTGTCTCTCAATAATAAATAAACGTTACAAAAAAATTTTTTTCTTAAATCATTTATGTTCATATTTGCAAATCAATCAATGTGATACATCACATCAACAAAAGGTATAAAAACCATGTGATCATTTCAATAGATGCAGAAAAAGCATCTGACAAAGTACAACATCCAGTCACGATAAAAACCCTCAAACAAAGTAAGTTTAGAGGAACATACCTCAACATAATAAAGTCCTTATATGAAAACCAACAGCAAACATCACACTCAGTGTATGAGTTTTTTTCCTAAGGTCAGGAACAAGACAAGGATGTCCACTCTCACCACCTTTATTCAACACAGCAGTGGAAGTCCTAACCTCAGCACTCGTACAACAAAAAGGAATAAAGGGCATCCAAATAGGCAAGGAAGAAGTAAAACTTTCACTATTTGCAGATGACATGATACTATACATAGAAAACCTGAAAGACTCCACCAAAAAACTACTAGAACTGATGAATGAATTCAGTACAGTTGCAGGATATAAATCCACTGCATTTCTATACACCAATAATGAAATAGCAGAAAGACAAATAAGAAAAAAAATTCATTTACAACTGTCGCAAAAATAATAAAATACCTAGGAATAAACTTACCCAGAGAGATAAAAGACCTGTATTCTAAAAACTGTAAAACACTGATGAAAGAAAGTGAAGACAACACAAACAAACGAAAAGACAATCCATCCTCATGGATTGAAAGAACAAATACTGTTAAAATGTCTATACTATCCAAATCAATCTACAAATTTAATGCAATCCCTTTCAAAATACCACAGCATTTTTCATAGAACTAGAACAAATAATCCTAAAATTTATATGGAACAACAGAACCTGAATAGCCAAAGCAAGCTTGAATAAAGAGGAACAAAATTGGAGGTATCACAATTCCAGAGTTCAAGTTTTATTATAAAGCTGCAGTAATCAGGGTGGCTGCAGCCTGGGTGACTCAGTCGGTTAAGTGTCTGACTCTTGATCTCGGCTCAGGTCATGATCTCACGGTTCATGTGTTCAAGCCCCATGTTGCACTACGCACTGTCAGTGCAGAGCCTGTTTGGGATTCACTCTCTCCCTCTCTCTGTCCCTCCCCAACTCACACTCACTCCCTCTCTAAATAAATAAATAAATAAATAAGACTTAAAAAAAAAAAAAGCTGTAGTAATCAAAACAGTATGGCACTGGCACAAAAACAGACACATGGATCACTGGAACACAACAGAAACCCCAGAAATAAACTCATAATTACATGGTCAACTAATCTTTGATAAACGAGACACGAATATGCAATGGGAAAAAGTCTCTTCAACAAATGGTATTGGGAAAATTGAACAACTACATGCAAAAGAATGAAACTGGACCACTTTCTTATACCACACACAAAAATAAACTCAAAATGGATTAAGGACCTAAATGTAAGTCCTGAAACTATAAAAATCCAGGAAGAGAGCATAGGCAGTAACTTCTCTGACACTGGCCACAGGAACATCTTTGTAGATGTCTCCCAAGGCAAGAGAAACAAAAGCAAAAACAAAATATTGAGACTACATCAAAATAAAAAGCTTCTGCACAGCAAAGGAAACCAACCACACTAAAAAACAATCTACTAAATGGAAGAAGATATTTGCAAATGACCTGATAAAGGATTAGTACCTAAAATATATAAAGAACATATATAACTCAACACCAAATACAATTAAGCATCAATCCAATTAAAAAATGAGCAGAAGACATGAACATTTCTCCAAAGAAGACATCCAGATGGCCAAAAGACACATGAAAAGATGCTCAACATCACTCATCACCAGGGAAATGCAAATCAAAATCGCAATGAGATATCTCCTCACACCTATCAGAATGGCCAAAATTTTGAATTTTTAACAAAAATATCTACATTTTTTAAATAAATAATTTTTTAAAAAATCATTTGGTTCAGGCATTGGAAGTGCTACAAACTCAAGTATTTCCATGACACAATCCCTAACTAAAAAAGGAAACTGGTATAAAACAGGTAATGGACACCTGGGTGGCTTAGTCAGTTAAGCATCTAGCTCTTGATTTCAGCTCACATCATGATCTCACAGTCATGAGATTGGGCCCCGCATCAGACTCCACACTGAATGTGGAGCCTGCTTGACATTCTCTCTCCCTCTTCCTCTCCCCCTCCCCCACTGCATGTGTGCCCTCTCTCTAAAAAACCAACAAACAAAAAAACATAGATAACCAACGGGGAATACTTGATATTTACTATGATTTGGGGAGAGAAAGGGAATGGATGGCATCATAAAAGAATATTTAAGAAAATCTTTTAAGGATAAACAGGATCTCATCAGTTAAAAGGTGAAGCATGGTATTCTAAGAGGAAGGCATTGTAAAAGTAATATTGCATTTCCTGTACTTTAAGAAAATTTATTTACATTTTAATATTTCTGAGATCAGGGAGCTTCTTAAAATGCACATGTATAATGAATGTAGTGTTTCTCATTTATCCCAAAATATATATTAAA